TATATACTTGAAGCAGAGAAACTTTGCCTCATAAACTGCACTTACAAAAGTAGGTGGGCAAAACCTGAAGCTGCTTTCTATAGTAACTAATATTTAGAATGAAAATTCATTTATAGCCAAATTTGTGGCTGTTTGCTTCCATGATACAAGGCAGGTGCAGCATATGCTTAAAGTCCTGAACAAACATATAAATATTGATCCAGAATATAAATATCTTGATGGTGAAACAACTAAAAGTTCTGAGGAAAAAATTGGTACTGAATTTTTAAACTCATGCTCAGGCTTTGAAGGAAGGAAATCTTCCTCCCAACTTTAAACTCAAGCAGTTACTGTACTTCAAGTTTTTGACATTTCCTGTGACAAGTGAGTGTGTGAGAATTTGTGGGAGACCTTTGGTGTCAATATGTGCTGGAGAAAGGAGATGGATGATTTTTTCCTCTGCTAGCTGAGCACTAGACAACACTGGAACAGCTTCAGAAGGGACACAGAGCTTATCCATCTTTTTGGCTAATTGCTTCTTGGATGTGCACCAAAGAGAGGGATTGGGAAGCCAAGAGTCCCAGGGAGTGGAGAAGCTCTGTGGTGGAGAGGAGGCCTGGGCTGATGTTCCATTTCCAGCAGCTGGAAGCATTCCCTGCTGCCACAGTGACACAAACCACCCGCTGAGATGTCCTCATGGTGGGAAGATGGATGAGCCTGGATGTTCCTGGGTGTCCTTGCTTTCCTGCAGTTCTAATTGCTTTTCAAAAGGGAGGGGCTTTTTGTTTGTTTGTTTGATTTTAATTCCATAGTAAATCAGGTCTTCTGCAGATTAATTTAGGATGCTTTTCAAACACTATTTTCATTATTCCTGTGTGAGCAAACTGGAGATGTCATCCTGGTAAACTGTCAGGGACATACGGCTGAAACCCCTTTAAAAGCAGCTTCTGTGAACTGGCATTGACATTTCCTGGGCTTGTCATATGGCAGGATTTGTAGCAATAACTTCTGGAAAGCTGAGAAAATTGTTGCCCCTTGGATTAAAAAGCAAAAACTGATAGATGGACCTGATGGAGTTTTTTACTTTTAATTGAAAATATCTCAAAAATTACTCTTGGATTTTTCAGGGTTTTCCTGTAACCACACTAACAATATAATTTAGGTTTGAATTGTACTTTGGAGTTTTTTCCCAGATGTTTTTACTGGGAGTCTCTAGAAATTTAAGAATTATATATTGAATAAACGAGATGATTGGATGTGCAGATGAGTTCCTTGTGTTTAGTATGGCCTGTATGTGTGAGAGCAGCACTGAATAAAGCAGCTTTTTCTCTGTAAGAGGTAAGGCATTCCTGCAAGGAGCAGGGAATTGGACTCAGATGATCTTTATGGGTCCTTTCCAGCTTGAGATGTTCTCTGATTCCATTAACGATTGTAGCTGGTTACAAAACAGTGCAGGACAAACAGAGAATGGCAGCAGTTCAGACAAACGGAACAGGTTAGAGAAAAGGTCTCTAAGAGGTACTTTTGAAGTAGCAGGAAGGTGGGGCTGAAGGCACTGTAACACGGAGTGTTTTACACAGGCCAAGAGAAGGCTTGTGGAGGGGTTGGATAATTGATGGTCTGGGTGGAGGGGAAGCAGTCGGGTGGGTGTAATTGTGTGGAAGATTTGAGTTGAGGAAGGGTGGTGGAAGAGGCCACAAGAAAGGAAAATGCTACTGCCAGAATCGCTTTAGTTGATGTTTAAGGGCAATATTAATGACCATATTAAGAGGCTGGACTGCAGAAGAAAGTAGAGTGGAGAAAATAAAACCAGGCGTGTTTTCCATTTGAAGAAGAGAAAGGAAAATATATTTAAAAATGTAGAAAGTTGGCAGATCTTGAGGTGAGCGCAGATTGCTTAGGGAATAGGACTTTCATTTTAGCTCTGTTATCTTTTAGTTGTAGGCCCCATTTACACAATTCCCAGTGACAAGCTTCTAAAGAGTTCACAAGTCTCACAATCTTATTGGGGAACTGGATTTTACTGGTTTTCAAAAGGATCATTTGATAAGGAATTTAAGCTGGCTGCCATACCCACCCTGCCACCACTGGGTTCAGCCCCCTCATGGAGATCAGGGCACCAAAGAATCTGAGAAATGCCAGGATCCCGTCCTGTAAAGCGCGGTGACAACTCTGCAGCTCTGGCAGGGCATCCAGCTGAGAGCTGTGACGGCTGCCGTGTGTGCAGGGAATGTCAGGTTCCAGGAATGGCTGATGGAACCATGGATGTTTAGGCTTTAGAAAAGCTTTTTTAGTTTTAAGCATTTTGAGATTGCTTTTTTGTTTTTAAAAAAACTTTAGAGTTTCAAAAGTTAAATTTTCACCCCTTCCCTTCACCTACTTGAATTCAGCTTCATCTTCCCTTCATCTGCCTCCCAAGAGAGACACAAGGACTTTGGGAGGCTCCACAGAGCAAGGACACAAAATGCCCTGAATGGAGCTTCTCTTGCAGAGGAGGAGCAAGAGGAAACCAGGAGGGTCTTCACCGTTGGCTGTGACTGTCCAGCTCTCAGGTACGGCGATAAGGATTAGGATTTCCATGAGAAATAGCAGAGTGTTTGAAGTGGATGGGTTCTGGAGAACCGAGGGGAGGGGGAATGTTCCCGGAGCAGCAGGGCTGCAATGTCCATTTGGCAGCAGCTGCCTGCCCCTGGGCTGTGCGTGTGGCACCGAGGGGAAGCTGACACGGAGTGAACCTGTGCCTGGGCTGGGCCGTGCTCTGCCTGCTCCCTTCATCATGAGGGTGTGGGAAGCAGCGGAATTGTCTCTGATTCTGGTAAAGAACTAAAATTTATGGCTTGCCAGGGGTCAGAGGTGGGAAGGAAAGTTAAGAGGCAACAAAATATCCTTGACGTAGTCGCTAGCAAAGTGAACATTGCGAACTGCGTGCGCTGGAGGCTGTGTCTGCCTTGGCGTTGGTTTGTTCCTGTGGGTTGCTGCACATCGGCTCTGTGAAAAGCCCAGTGTTTGCAGTCTCGCTTGGGACTGCCCGGGGCTGCCTGTGCTGTCTTTGAAGCCAGAGAGCTTCCCAAGCTCCAGGCATGAGCAGCCAGCCCGCTGTTAAACAGGAGATTAGGGGCGCAAAGAAAGCATGTTTTGGGAAAGGAACCTTTTCATCCTGTTTTGTTGTCAGCCTCAGGCACAAAGTGCATTTGATGGGTCACTACACTTTATAAACTCTGTGTAATTTGTTTTATTAGAGGGGGAAGGCCTGTGCCAGAATTTTCACCTGTTGCCTTTTGCTATCAGTTTGCTCCTGTTGGGTGGGAGGAGAACTGGTTTCTGGTGAATGCAATGGAACAGAACGGTTGCCGCGGATTTATTTTAAACACATGTTTCACCATATTGCGATTTAAACAATTTAGCCTGGTGCAGAGGCCACACAACTTCTTCTGGTCTAAAATAACTCTCCGGTTACTTTTTTCATAAAGCCGGAGGAGAAGATGTCCGACCGATGTTCGCTGCATCCCGTTTCCAGCGCTGCCGGCAGCGATGCTCAGCCGGACAGAGGCCGGGGTTCCTCGGCGCGGGGACCCGCTCCCGC